GCCAGGCCCAAATTCCGGGATGACTTCTCAGCCAACGACTCCACCTTTAGTGATGACAGGCAGAATGTCTGTAGTTGGGGGACACTGCCCTATTCCTGCCCTTTCCTCTCTAAAAGCAACACCTTTGATTAAACACCTACATTCTTAGTAGGTGTTTAATTAGATTTCTTATCCATAAATATATTTTTAAAATGCTTTTATTCTCATAATAAGCTGGTAATCAGTTGTATTATAAGCCACGGGTTTTTATTTTCCCTGGAAGACTCCTTAGTGACTATATAGCCCTAATTTTACAGATGCGGAAACCAAAGCGCAGAGAGTCAGAGCCACTCGCTCAGGGCCATACAGAAAGAGAGCGACGGAGCTGAGCGGAGAACTTCGTCCAACCCGCGGCTGGGTGGTAAGAGGGAAGGCACCGATCACTGTGGCAAGTCCGTGAGGATTTTGCGAGTTTCTGAGCCACAAGAAAGTGCGACTGGGTCTGGGCGTCGCTAAGAGGAGATGCTCAAAACAGACAGGATGCTTGCAAATGTGGGGCGTCGCCGCTACCGGCGGGTTTCCCACTAGGAAACCCGCCTTGAGTGTCGAGAACCCTTCACCACTCCAGAATGCAGGCGGCTGCACCACGCCGCCGCCCTGTGTTTTAGTTGCGCTGAGGCCGAGGGTGAGATTTTGGCGAAGGTTCCCAGAAACCTTCAGCGCTGCCGCAGCCTGGGCCCCATTCTGGGCCTGGCGGTCTCGATGGGAGGTGAGAGGCCATATTCTGAGGCCCCTAACCCGGAGCGCCTAGCCAGACCGCCGCGTAAGAGACGCGCATCGCCTTCTGCTGCACCGGCCTCGGCCGCCGAAAAGGCGCAGCCGGCGGGCGGCCCGACCTGGACAAGGCTGCGTCCTTCGGCCGCAGGTTTTTGAGAAGCCCCGCAGGCAGGAGAAGGTCGCCCAGCCCAGGGGCGCTGCGGGGCCTCGGGAGTCTCACCGCCGAGCTGGGAGTGGCAGCGGCTAAGTCTCCCCGCTCCTGCTTCGAGGGCAAACGTGCGCAAGCCTGGGAGGCGGGAGGCGCTGGTGCCCTTGGAACGCGCGCAGTCCAGCGCCCAAGCCGGGGTGGGAAGGTCCTTCGGCTCCACTGATAACCCCGAACCTCGTGTCGGGGTGCCTGCAGGTGCACCCTAGGCCGTCGCCCCAGCCCTCACTAGGCCAAGTCCCCCTTTCCTCCCAAGTATTAGAAGGAGAGCGTTGGTTTGGGGGGGGGGGGCGCAGAACGAGAGCGCGGGTCCGCTGCAGCCGCGCGACCCAGAACTAATTTCTGGACTTCTCTGATCCTTCATTTTTCCAACTGCAAAGTGGTGTGGGGCATCCAAACCCTGCAGAAATGTTGTGTGGGTCATCCTAAACCACACTGCGTGCAAAGCTCGCTGTCCCCAGCTGGTGCTGTATAGGTTGCTTGCTGCTGAAGGAGAATCGTTCCCACTTGAGGGAAGTGAGAAGCCGGCCCCAGAGCTTGTGTGTGTGTGTGTGTGTGTGTGTGTGTGTGTGTGCGCGCGCACGCACGTGCAAGTCTGTCTGTCTCTCTGATCGGTGTGTCCTCGCAGACTCTACCGGCTTTGGAGCCTCTCAGGGAAAGCTGAGCACAGCCTAACTCCTCGCCCTTGGGTAGGGCAGCCTCACCTCTCTTGGCCGACGCCTGGGGTCCAGACCTCCCTGCCTGCCCAAAACCAGCGCGCGAGGAGAACCCGGGAGAATGGTCGCACAGGCTGACAAGCTGACTCTTGCCTCCCAGTCCTACATCTGTAAAATGGGCGCGGCTTTAGAGACGCTTGAACCGAGGCTAAGGAAGGCCCTGGGGAAGGGCGGCGAATCGGTCTTCAGCCTTCACCCAGAGGCCTACTGCTTCTGGTCCTTAATTCCCTCCATGGTGGGGCTGGGTGTCCACACGCGCCTGCTGCCTCTGGAGCCAAGGCCACTTCCTCCGGCAGAGGTGGGGTCTAATATCGGGAGGGGATCGCCAAGAAAGCGTCCAGGTGGGCTTCCCAGCCTATTCCAGATTCTCTCTCCCCTACACTCAGTCTTAGTGTAAGCTAAGAAACATCCTGATCTGGATGTTTCTGCGCCGACACTCTGCCTCACAGCCTACCGGGGGTGGGGAGTAGGAGCTGTGACCCTTAACAGGGCGTTCGGGGGCTCTAGTCCCACACAGCCACAGTGGAAATGGCAACCTCCAGGCCTTGCCCATCGGGAGGAGGGGGTTCGGCACTAAACACCCTTGCATCGTCCAGCAATCTGTCCTACCCCCTGGGGGCGCCCACACTGCTCTGGGTGGGCATAGGCGCCACACAGTCGCGACCCGGCCCCACATGAGTGGGCTCAGCCCCCTAACTCAGAGGGACTCTTTTAGTCTCTGGCTGGGCAAGGCTTGATTGGGGCAAAGCGCTCAGAGAGGGCAAAAGCCCCAGAAGCACCCGGTAGGGAAACATACTGACGTCCCCGAGAGCCGAAGCAAGACTGTGTAGGTCCCCATCCCGGAGCTCGGCTGAACGCAGACCCCGGGCGAGCTTCCGGGTCAGAGACCAGAGGCACCAGGAAGGAAGAAAAAGATGTGTGTGTGTTCCCCGAAAAGGCCCAAGAATTGAGGGTCATCCTGGCAAAACAACAAAAATAATTTAGAAAAACAAAACCACTATGCCTTATTATAGAGAAAAAGAAAAAAAAGTGAGGGAAATTGGAAAGCAACGCTAGTCCCCGGGGAAGAGGTGCTCAGCCAGCAAAGGCAAAGATTGTTCTTAGATGTTTAAGTCCCGGGCCCGAAGGCCAAGGTTTCCCATCCCGATAGGGGCGTTCATCGGGCTTTTTAGCGAAGAAAAGAGAAGCATTTCCAGAAACCACCTGCCGGAAGGGACCTGAAGGTCTGAGTCCCTCTAGTTCCTCTCTGGGGGTGTCTATAAGTGGGCGGGTAGGGCTTGGAGGTGGAGGTGAAGGCAGCAACCATGGGAGCTCCGCCTGTGTTTCTTAGACTCCCTCCCGTCTCTGGAGCCCTGCCAGGGAAGACGATCCCACAGCCCGCGTAAAACGAAGGCGCCCAAATCCCCGAGCCCTCAGGGTGGCGCTTGGCCCGGGGGGGGGGGGGGGGAAGGCGGTGTGCTGAGGTGGGGGTGTGTGGCCCTAGGGCCTGTGGGACAGCCCCCGAACTGTTTCGCCTCAGGAAGCTAATGGGAGCCGGTCAGGAGGAGGGGGTGGCAGAGACAGACACAGAGGAAGAGAAGCGAAGAGATTCTGAGAGCAGAAAAAGAAAACAAAAAGGACACAGGAGAGGGGGGAAGGAGGAAGAGAGAGAGGAAAAGAAACCCCGAGAGAGACAGAGGACGGGAGAGTGAGAAATGGAGAGAGCGGGGGGCGGGGGGCGGCAGGATACGACAAAGCAAGTGTCGGGGAAACTAAAAGCAACAGTGAACGAACTATACAGGGAAACATAAAACTGTAAAGGAAAAGCAAAAGTTATAGTAGCACGGAGACCCAGAGTAACAAATAGAGTAGAAAATAGAGAACATCGTGGAGAGGCCAGAAATAAGAAAAAAATTAAAAGACCGAATAAAAGGGGGAAAAAATGAGGGAGCAAGAGGAAATGTTCACGAACGCTTCCGGCGTGTGTCTTGTTGGAAGGGACCACCCACCGCCCGTCCCGTGATCCCCAAAACTCCCAGCTTTCGAGCCGAGATAAAGCTGGGTGGACTGGGCCTCCCTGCTTTCACACCTGGGCTCGGTATTCCAGGGTTTCGGGGCGCCCCGCCCCTCTCCTGAAGAGTGACGCCGCCAGGCTGCGGTGACGTCGCTTGACGTCACGCCCCAACTGCGGTCCCACGTAAACCAAGAGTGTGCCCATGTTCTGGGTTTGTGCCCCGCGCTTACTCCTCAGACACCGAGCGTTTGGAGACCCAGGACGTGCGCCGGTTCTGTGCACACCGCCCGCCCACAGTGCGCCCAGATCCCCTATTGCCAGTCTTTGGGTCCGCCCAGGGCCTGAGGCCTCACTGGAAAAAGAGGAGGTCAGTGGGTTGTGGGGGGGTGGGGAGGGGAAGGGCTCCGAGTTCTTAGAAGGTCGAGGTCACGGTGCCTTTCACCCCCTAGTTGGGTCTGGCCTGTGACGACCTAAGTACCCGCCGGGCTTGGGGGGAGCTTTCATCCCCAACCCTGCCTGGCGCCGACCTTCGACCTCTGGGCCTTGAGTGCCCTTCCCATGTCCGCCCCACCCCGCCGGCACCCAAACTGCCAGCGGCCGGCACGCACTGACCTGCACGGCGGATCCTCCCCGGGGCCCCGGGCCGGGGTTGGAGCTGAGGCGAAAACCGACGAAGCTTGGAGAGGTGGACGCGCCCCCGTACACCGCGGCTCGGCCTCTACCGCCGATGGGGTGGGGCGCAGGGCCGGGCTTGCCGAGCATTATTGGAACGAAAACGAAATAAAAGCGGCGTTAAGTGAAATAGCTAACTTTTTTATTAAATAAAACGACTTAAATAAAAGGAACGGAAAAGGAGAGGAGTGGACCCAGCCTAAACGCAGGGTGCTCCAGCCCTGGCGCTCCCCCCAGCCACCTGGTCGGCCGCCCCTCCTCCAGCGGCCCCCGCAGGGGAAGCAGGTGGCCGGTTTCTAAAGAAAAAAGCCAAAACTTTTATTATTTACACGTTTGGGCAAAAGTACAAAGTATAATACAGGCGCCCGGCCCGGGGGGTGCGGGCGAGGGGCGGAGAAACGTAAGGCGCTTTCTTTGTCAGGCCCCGGCCTGGGGCGGGACTGGGCGCGGGGCGGGGGCTCGGATTGTGCAGCCGCGCGGAGCCCGGGCCCAGCCCCCCTCCGCGGCCGGCGGGGATGCGGCCGCGCCCCGGGGCCTACTCGAGCTCGGAGGCCCCTGTGCCTTTCGGCCTCGGGTCCCCCCCCCCAGCCCGGCTGGGGGCCCGGGGCGCCCCGCCGGGTGGGGGCGGCGATCCTTGGCCACTGTGCGCGCTGGTGGCTCACACCAGAGAGGTGACGGCGGGGACCTTGGAGCTGTCCTCCTCCCAGGGCTGCAGATTCTGCAGAGCAAAGAGCGACGAGTTGTGCAGACAGAGAGGGTCGGGCTGGATGGAATCGTTGAGGCTCTTTTGGAAGGCGTCGTGTTGCAGCTGCAGCATGAGCCGGCTCGCCTGCTGCCGCTCCGCCTCCCGCTCCTCCGCCGTCTGCCGCCTGCACCGGGGGAGGGAGAGGGACAGCACCGTCATGCACCCGGCACTGCGGGGCTGCCGGCGGGGCCCCGGCCCTCCCGAGAGCCGGAGGCCAGCCGGGAGCCTCGAGGCGCAGGACCCGTCTGCACCCCTGCCGGCGCTGTGCGCTCGAGCCCCGCGCGTCCGGGGAGTGGGTTGGCATCGTTTGTTTTTGTTGTGTGTCGGGCGGTCGCGGGGAGGGGACTCAGCCCGCTGCCCACCTGCACGTCCGGGTATTGTGGCTTCGCCAACAACAAAGATGTTTCTTTTGCGGGATAAGGACAGGGCGTGTGTGTAACTGACTCGGCCCTGAGGACAGTCGGGTCGCTAGGGTCCGCGGGTGGGAGGGCTGGCTCTGCAACTGCCCGCGCGGTGTCCCTGGGCCGGGTCAGCCTCATCCAGTTCTCCCAGGCCCTTCTCGAACCTCTCTTCAAAAACGCGATCGCTTCGCCGTTCACGGGTTGGATGGAAATAGGGATCGGATAATAACGGGGCTGGAGTCAGGATGAGGAGCCAGAGGGGGAACATGGAGCCCGCGCGGACTGTCGGAAATCCCAGAGGGCAAGCTGGAGGGATTAGGGGAGTACGAGAGAGCCCGGGGTGGGGTGGGGGGTGGCGCGGCTGCTGGTGGAGGTGCAGGTGAGAGGAAACCGAAAGGACGCAGAGACGGAAGAAAACACCGAGAGTTGGAGAGGCGCACGAGAGCGACACAGGGATGAGAATGGAGGAGAAGCCGAGGCGCGGGAGAGGAGAGAGATACGCAGGCCGGCGGGAAGGAGAGAAGGGAGATAAAATTTGGGAAGGAGCGGGGGAGGCTCAGCCCTGGGAGGGCGGGTAGCGGGTAGCACAGAATGGGGAGAGCGCGAGGCTGCGGCGCGGGGCGGGTGAAGGGCGGGTGCAAGATGGGCCGAGCCGGGCCTCTCTCACCGCCACTTGGTCCTCCGGTTTTGGAACCAGGTCTTGACCTGCGCGTCCGTCATTTTGAGGGACTTTGCGAGCGCCGCCCTCTCGGCGGAGGCCAGGTACTTCTGGCGGTGGAAGCGCTTTTCCAGCTCGCAGATCTGCACCCGAGAAAAGGACGTGCGCGGCTTCTTTCGCTTGGGCGGCGTCCTGTTCTGGTAGGGGTGGCCGATGCGCCGGGTCACGGTGAAGGGCGTGAGGGCCGCCGCCGCTGCGGAGACACGGGAGGCCCCCTGAAGCCCAGCCCGGCTCCACTGTCGTTCAGGCCCCATGCGGACCCCGTGCCGCCCGGTGGGGCGCAGAGTGCTCCGCTATTTCGTTGGTCCCTCGCGTCCCCAGCGGCACCAAGCCGGGCGGGAGTTACCCCCCTCTTCCCCTGGGCGTAGGCTTATTTCCCCGAAACTCCCTGATTTCCACCCCCCTGTGGTTGCCCGGGGCCCCGGGCGCTGAGGCCTCCGACGCGCTTGGGCCTCCGGAATCGTTTCCCAGAGTGGAGCACCTAGGGCGCGGCGCCTCTGGCCCCGGGAGGGCCGAGGCCCGGTGCCTTTCGCTGGCCCTGCTCACCTGTGAAGCGGTCTTTCACGAAGCGGCGGCTGCTCTCCATCCAGGGGAAATTGAGGCCGCCCAGGCTGGAGACCGTGGGCACGGAGGGCATGGCGGGCAGCGCGCTAGGCAGAGGCGGTGGCACAGCCCCGGGCAGCGGCCTGTGCGCTGGCACTCGGATCACGCCGGCGGGCGCCAGGCTCAGGTTGACACTGTAAGATCCCGGGTCCTCGAAGGGCGCGCCCAGGCCGGCAAAGGAGGCGGGTAGAGACGGGTATGTGGCGCCCGGACGGCCCCCGGGGGGACCTCCCAGGTAGCTGGCGCCGTCGGGGCCCCGCGGGGCTGGTGCGCTGTCCTGGTCCGGGCTGTTGAGGATCTGGTCGATGCCGAAGCTGATGGGCTCGTGCGGGTGCGGGGTCTGCGCGCTGGCGGGCGCCTCCATCCTGGGCGGGCGGAAGGGCTGGGCTGGGCTGGGCGGGGAGGCGGCTGGGTCCCTGTTACGGCGCGGCCATGGAGCGCCCGGCGCCTCTCGTTGCACTGAAACTTTGCCAAGAGTGCGCGGGCCCGACAGGCTCTGTGTCATCTTTCTTGAACCGAACCTGGAGTTTCCGCTGCTAATTCCTCTCCCGCCGCAGCCATTGGCTGCGATCAACAAGCCTCTCTCCTCCCATTGGCTCCCGGCTTTCAATAAAGGCCTAATTCATGGAAATAGGAGCTTAGGGACTGTTCCAAGGTGACATCATTTTAACAAACGAACAATAGGTCAAATTTATTAGCCGGGATAATGGGCGGCGGATATTAGCGCCCGAACCGCAGCCTCCCAAACCCGAAATCTAACGAAGCTGCAATTAGCAGACGCTCCCCGCTCCTCCCGGCCGGGGCCGCTACCCGGCCACAGCGCGGGGCGGGCCAGGGTGCTCTGCTGGTGAGATTGTCGTTTGCGGAGGGGTGTTTCGTTTTCTTCCAAATTTTTTTCATCTGGGCAAAACCCAAACCATGTGAATCCTTTCAATTGTAATGGAGTTGCAAGCCCGGAACGACCCTGTGGAATCCGCGGAAGCCTCTTGGACACTCCACCGCCACGGGAGCAACGAAAGGAGCGCACCACCCGGCGCAAGCTCCGCGCTCCCAGCGCGCGGGGTGAGGGGAGCACTGCAGCATGCTCCGCGCTCCCGAGGACACCGACCCGCGTGGGGAGAATTCACCCCCGCCCGGGCTACTTTGGAGACACTCCCTGGCCCCCGCCAGGCGGACCGAGGTGTGACTCGCAGGTGCCCACGCGTGCGGGGCCCGGCTGGTCTAGGGACCCAGGGTCGCCCGGTGGGGAGCGGGGCTCCAGCCCCTCGAAATTCGTTGCAGGATGGATGGGGACTGTGGTCGCGAGTGGGAACCCGCCCATGGCACGGCAGGTGTGGGGACCTGGGGTCCCTGAGGGGCGAGGCGCGGGGGCGGCTCATCATTCGAGCAAATAGCAGCATCTCTTTGGGTAACGGGAGCAGCGAGTCTCTCCCGCTGCAGGCCAGCCTGGGCGCTGGGACCACTCCCTCCCTGCTCCGCTCACGCCCTCGGGGACTGTCCAGGCCGGCGAGGGGGACCGTGAACAGGACGGGACAGGACCGCGCGCTGGGCGGTCACCCCAGCGCCAGCCTCGGCTGTCTACCCTGGAGGGAGACAACAGAATCGTTGTCTACCCACGAATTCTAAAATCATTAGGTGCAAACTGACTGCTGCACCCCTGGCCGGGCCCCTCTCACTCTCACCCTGTCTTGGGGATGTGGTGAGAGCTCGGAGACAGGGTTACCCAGAACTGAGTGTTCTCATTTGGGTCGGTCACTTTCTAGCTCCGTGACCTTGAGCAAGTGACTGCCTATCTTTAGACTTTGGTTTTCTTGTTTGTAAAATGGGCAGTGTGTGCATTGCAGGATTGTCAGTAAGCCTTGAATGAGATACTAAGAGAGCGCAGGGCTTAGGGCCTGACACATAGTAGGCACTGAGCTGCCTGGCTGCCCTCCCACCCCCACCCCCAAGGGGATGGTTGACCTATTATTCTGATGATTCTTGTTTATTTATTTGCAGTTTTATGTTATTTGCAGAGTCTCAGTATCTTGAAGAGAAAAATGTATTTGTCTACCAGTGGGATCAGTCCCAGAGGACCCGGAAGGGCAGGAGGCAGCATGTTGGGGGTTCTTCCTAATAATCTGCCCCCAATGACCAAGAGGCCTCAGGATTTGCAATCTTAAGGCCTGCGTTCCTGAGTCAGGTCACCGTCCTGCTGTGTGACCCTGGGCAAGTTGCTGGCTCTTGCTGGGTGGAGAGAATGAGGCTACTGGAGAGTGAGAGGTGAGGAGGGAGGGTGCCCGGCCCCGGCCCCGGCCCGGGGTGAGCCCTCCTTTGCTCCTTTGGGGATCCAAGGACCTTCAAATGGAGGAGACGGCATTACTCCCATGCTGGGGGCCTCCTGCTTCTAAATCAGGCTCTGCCACTGGTGGTCTGGGGCTGTTTGGTCCCTCATTGCCTCTCCTGGAGCCTCCTTTTCCTTATTTGTAAAACAGGAAGGGTAATAGCTATCCCCAGGGTGGCTGTGAGAAGTAAATGAGATAAGGTTTGTGGACAAGCCTGTGAGAAACCGGATTATATAATAATAACTTTAATGACAGCAGTAGAACCACGGTAGGTTGAGAACTTAGTGTGTGCCAGGCAGGGGGCTGAGCACGTACTTATTCCTCACAACAACCCTGTGAGGAAAGGCTGTTATTGATCCCATTTTTTACCTGATGAAGGAACTTTGGGTCAGAGAGTTCACGCGGCTCTCAGTCCCGCTCTCCAGGGCTAGGTAGGCGCCTGACCAGCTCTATCTATTTCCCTTCTGGCTTCTCAAGCCCCGGGTTCCAGGCCTGTCCTCCCCACTTCCTGGCTTTGTTAAATTGGGATAACAAGGCGCACCCCACACAGGTATGTGGGCATAGAATTAAAGAGAAGTGGGTGGTGTGGCCAACACTGCTCCGAGAGCACACACGATGAGTGGTCCAGTGCGTAAGGATCAGATTCTGACCTCTGTTTACCAGCTGTGGGCTTGGGGAATCACTCATCCTTTTTGTGCCTCAGTTGCTAGTCTTGTAAAGCAACAGCACCAACGTTGTGGGATTAAATGAGCCCGTCTGGGTGAAAGCACCCAGCAGCGCCAGACATGGGACAGAAGTCGGCCTCACACCAGCGGCACCCCCCCCTCTCCGGGTCCCAGCTTTCTGAGATGCCTGGTTTCACCGTCTTCCAGCAGTAGGCGCTTTGGGCCACTGATCACAAACTACTCTTTTCCAGCCCAGACGGAGCAGAGCTGTTAGCCCAGGAAGGGGCGTAAATGGGGGCAGATAGTAGTCCCTGGGACAGGGGTTCTCAAAGTATATGCCTGGACCAGCAGCAGCAACAGCACCTGGGAATTTGTTAGGAATGCAAATTCTTGGACCCTAGCCCAGACTTACTGAATCCGAAACTCCAGGTTGGGCTAGGCAATCTGCTTTCACAAGCCCTCCAGGTGATTCTGATGATCGCTCACATTTGGCAGCCAGTGCCCAGAAGAGTGTCCATTTCATCCACGTTTTCAAATTCATTGTTATAATGTTGTGGGAAGATGCTCTCATAGTTCCAAACTCTCCTGCGAATCTGAGCTAACGTCCTCTGCTCTTTATTCTCAGTGTTACTGAGCTGTGCCTTCTCTTATCATGTTTACCAAAGGTTTGTCTATTTTATGGGTCTTAAAGAGAAGACTTTTAGTTCCTTCTTTTTTTATGCCATCTCTTTGCGGAATGTTTATTTTTATTAATTATTTTCCTCTTCGTTTGTTGAGGTGAAAATTTAATTTCTATCAATATTTCTTGTTTTTTTTATAAATATATTTAAGGTCATACATTTACCTCTAAGCACTTTTTGCCCAAATGCATTTTGATGTGCATTTGATGTTCCTGAGATTGTAATTTTTTGCTGTCCCTTCCTGCCTGCTATCAACTGAACAGTGACAGACACACATGCACACGCACCAGAAGGGAGATCAGAAAATGAAAATTCTGAGATCCCGGGGCCGTGGGGGCCAGAAAGATTTCCAGAATGCGGTGCATGGTCCATTTTTCCCCATGGAGAAGCTGGGAGGAAGGGAAGAACTGCTGGAGGCCTTGCTGGGAGACATAGACGAGAGAGGGGTGGCTTCAGGGATGGGACACAGGATGTTGGAATTCCCAACTGCACATGGGCAGGAGGCCAGCTTAGTTCAGTCTTGCTCTTCCACCGACCTCTTCTGTGAGTTGGACTCCATTTCCCTACCTATGAAATGGGGTAGAGATTGAATCGGGGCTCTTACGCATACTTGGGTCCGCAATCCTATTTGAAAGATTGATGAAAGTACTGAGGACTACTTCCATAGACAAAGACACAAACACATAATTTGGCACACGTACCATGACACAGGCTGCTTACCTGTCCACCTTCCATTCTTGGTTCGCACACCCTATTTAAGAAATCTCTAGGGGCACTGGCAGTTCTCAGGATGGAAGGCTCTAAAGACACCTGCCCAAATATATTCACTCATTCATCCACTTATTCAACACCTATGTGCTGAGCACTTATGCACATTTCTGGACCATGTCCCAACTTTGGGCTTCAATTTCCCCATCTGATAGTGGGAGTAAGGCAGTTTAAGCTCTTCATTGCTGCCTTCCCACGATGGGGATACTAGGGGAAGAACCTTCCAGAGGAGGCCTTCAAGGGCCCAAGATTCTGCCAGCTGGAGGAAAGGCAGAGGCCACATGGTACTGTGTGCTCTTTGTGCCTCCCCAGCACAGGTCGTGAGACTCAAAGGACAGTCGGCTTAGGGAAGTGAAGTCCAGGGGCATGCGGCTGGGAAGGCTGGAGCTGGGATCTGAACCCAGGACTGTCTTGACTCCAGAGCCCATGCTTTTCCCTTTACCCCATACTCCCATTTCTACTCTGGGAGCAGGTAGTAAGGCTCCAAGGCACTGGACTGAGTGGGGACGGCAAATCTGTGGAGGAGCTGGGGGAAGGAGCTCAGGAGCAGGGGTGAGGGCTGGCCATGGAGGGGCTCACTTCTGTCCCCCCCCCCCAACCCCCACTGGCCTGAGATTTCCTTCAGGAGAGAAGAGTGTTGGCGGCATTTGATTCCATGTGTTGGGGCTGGGGCCATTGGAGGATCATCATGAGAGTTTGTGGTGCTTAACTGAAGAGTACACAGCAAGATGAGGGGAGAGGAAAAGGGATCCAAGTTCGTCCAGGTCTGTGCGCAGTCCAGCACCCTCCAAAGCAGCCCCCCTCCCCTGTCACTCTCCATCCCTGATTATTTTCATCATTGCCTCCCTCACCTGCGGGACCCCTCTTATTTATCCTGCTCAGCGGGTCTCTGAAGGCAGAGACTTTGTCTCATTCACGGCTTTATCTATGGTGGAGCCATGAATGACTCCCAGGATCTTTGTGCTGAGTCCAACCGGGGCCCTGGCCGGGAGGAGGGCCCAGCATGGCAGGGTGGCCGGCAGCCACATGAAGACACTGGCCGGGGGGCTGGGGGTAGGACAGAGGGTGCGTGTGAGACAGGGAGGAAGAGGGGCTGCTGGAGGCTGCGAAGGGGCGTGTGAGCGGGGACCGTGCGCAGATGGCCGCGTGTGCAGGGGGCAGGGACTGGCCAGGGCCCTCAGGCACTGGGGGGCGAGGACGGGCACCGAGGGTGGCCCCGTGCAGGGACCTTCTGAAGTACTCCCACCCCTGACCTCATGCTCTGCTCTTTCCCTCCACCACCCAGCAGCCATTTTCTCCATTTCATCTTCTACACCTTTCCTCTCTTTCTGACAGATTTCTCTAGTAAATTTGACTTCGTTTCAACACTTTGGTTGGGCAAATTACATTAAGATGGATGTTGCAGGTACCCTTTATGGTTTATTTATCGTGATACTGTTTGTATCTCACGCTTATAAATAACTTATGTTATAGCTTTTGTTTGTGGAAATGTAACTTACATATTTTATTACGCTTTCTGTAAACCTCAAAAAGAATCTTGTCAAGGAAGCGCTCTTATCAGCAATCCAAACTATGGGACGTAAAAACCGACACCGCCATTATTTTTTAATATGCCAAGGAGGCAGGTTACTCTTGCTGTAGTTTGAAAGGTTTGCTGTCATCGTAAACTTGCACCTCAATAAAACATTAAAAAGTCTCAAGAATGATTTTATAAAGTTCAGGGAGGAGTATGAATCGGTGGCAGAAGCCATCGACACAGCACTCAAGGAGCCCAGGTGTTGGACTGGCCTTTCTCTGAGAGTGTCCAGCTTCATTTGGGGGCCGTGGAGGGTTCCGGGCCCACCTCCCCACCCACTGTCCCTGGAGCCCCGTGGTGATGTACCCAGCTTCAGGGGTGAGAGAGGAAAAGACGCATGAGTTCTGGAATCCGGCTGACCTGACTTTGAATCCCGGCTTGTCCACTTTTTAGCTTTGTGGCCTTGGGTTAGTCTTTCAGCCTCAGTGTTCTCATCTCTAAAATGGGGATACTACTGCTTACTTGACATTCTTATTGGGAAACATTAAATTTAAATGAGATGGCAATTTTGCAGTGCTCAGGGCGTGCTCAATAAATGATATAGTGGCTGTAATCATTCAACTTTCGCATTGAAGCTGTTACTTTCTCCCTTTCTACTCACCTTGCTCTCCTCTCCAGGTGCTCTTTCCCTCCTCACTGTAAGGAGCTGAGTTCTCCCAGATGCTACTGCCCTCCCAACCGCTGGACTAGCCTCCATCTAGATAGGGTTCCCATATGCCAGATTTTTCACTTTCGCCAATTTCTCTCATCCAGACTATCCTATTCTTTGTTCTCATGCTCAACTCTCTGTTGGTGGGTAACTAATTGTCAGGGGTCTCAGCTGGTGGCTATACACCAGGCCTGTTTTGCATGCTGAAAGAGACCTCCAGTACCATAACCCAACAGCACTTCCAGGTTGGCAGGGCCAGTGGAAGCGAGTCTGGGGAGTCTAGGGGCTGAGAGGGCTTTTCTGGGCAGTTGGGAATCATCACATGGTGCAGGGACATCATGCTCCCTCATCTCTACCTGCCCCCCCTAACCAAGAGAAGCCTGAATGGAAAGCCCAGAAAAATGGAAACATCTAGAACACAAGCAGGATACAGCTTTCTCAGGGTCAGGTTCTTAAGTCAGTGTGGAATGCAAACATTGAGCAAAGTCAAAACACCTTCACACTGTTTCTTTTTTTTTTAAGATTTTTTTTTTTTAAAGATTCCATTTATTTATTTGAGAGAGAGAGAATGAGAGATAGAGAGCACAAGAGGGAAGAGGGTCAGAGGGAGAAGCAGACTCCCTGCTGAGCAGGGAGCCCGATGCGGGACTCGATCCCGGGACTCCAGGATCATGACCTGAGCCGAAGGCAGTCGCCCAACCAACTGAGCCACCCAGGCGCCCTTCACACTGTTTCTTGCTCGAGTATCAGCTAGGGCAGTTGGCTAGATTTAGAGCCCCGCCCTCGCGCATGTTTGCACAGCAGACTCCTCCGGCGAACGAGGTGCCCCGGCCTGGCTCGCACCTCCTGCCTCACCCCCACTCTGGCCCCACAGAGCTGCCTGCACCGTTTCTTTCTTTCTGTTGCTGAATGTGTTACATACACGTGTGAACGCATTCGAGCACATAACAGATCCACCTGGTTCTCTTTTGTGTAGATTCCACAGTTTAGGTGTCTCTCTGGAGAACTTTTTGCCCAGGAGTCCCCGCTAGCCCTTCCCGGGACAGGTGGTGGGTGGGGGCGTGGTTCCCACACAGCTTCGGTTGGGGCGCAACGTGCAGTATAATGTGCTCCTGAAACATCCCAGCTTCCCTACCCCCTTTTTGTCCTTAGGGCACAGAATGGAACTGAGCCCTCCAAAGAAAATCAGGATTCCTTTCCAGGTGTCTAAGGAGAAACGGGTAGCCAAACTCAACCTCTCCAGCAGAGACCGGATAGAGAGCTGTGGCAGGCATCTTTGAAAATGGCTTCCGCAGACCCCTGCCTCCGGGTATTCACGCCCTTGTGTAACCCCTCCCCTCGGGTATGGGCTGGTCCCGGTGAGCTACCTCTCACAGAACACAGTAGAAGCGAGGGGACGCCCCCTTTGAGATTAGCTAAAAGGCTGGACTTCCAGACTGCAGCACCGTCTCTTCTCTCTTTTGCTCGCTATGACGAAGCAAGATGCCATGTTGTGTGCTGCCCTATGGAGAGGCCCATTGGGCAAGGCACTGAGGCTCTCAGACCGCCAGTCCATGAGGAACTGACTCCTAACTGCGAGTGAGCATGGAAGCAAGTCCTTGCCCAGCTGAGCCCTGGCCAACAATACTGATGGCAGTCTGAGAGAGACCCTTAAGCAGATGACCCAGCTACAGATTTCTGACCCTCAGAAACTGAGAGATAATCAATGTTGTTCTAAGCCACCACATTTTGTGGTAATTTGTTATGTAGTGACAGGGTTCAGAAAAACAAATAGAAGTGGATGTAAATATTAACTGGTTTCAACTCACCGTTCTGAAATACACGTCTTCTTGGAAGAAACCAGGAATTGCTTTGAGGTGAGAGAGACATGGGTTCGGATCTCACCTGTGTGGTCTGGGCAAGCTATGTACCACCTTTGGGCCTTCGTGTCCTCATCTGCAGAGTGGGTGTAATGGTGTCTCCTTTCACAGGACTCTTGCGTGGACCGAGGGAGAGAACGTATGTAAGGGGCATGGCAGGTGTTCTGTTAAGTGTGTGCTGTTTGCTCTCAGCCTGTGTGCGGCCCAGCCGCGTGCCCTGGAACCCCCCCCCCCCCCCACCCCCATGACAACGAGCAGGCTGCAGTCAGCGGTGGGGGCAGGCCTGGTAAGTCCTCCTGTAGGAGCAGCTCTCCAACGCCAAGGTTGATGGAGCCTTCCCTGGCTGGGGTGAAACCACCAGGTGGCCTTCGGCAGTGTGGCAAAGAAAAGCAAGGGCACACTCTTATTTTCTTGTGAGTGTTTCAATGCAGACGGGGTGGTGCTTTTGTAAAGGAGTGTCAGAATGGGGTAGGCCATCTATGAAGCATTTTTGTGGGATAAGAAACAGAAATTCTCAAGTCAGACTTCTTCCAATAGTTGATGTTTTATAAATTTAAAGTTTGCCTTCTCAAGGAAAATCACATTTCCCACTGCTAATGAAGTATAGCGTAAGGCCAAGGCTTGCTTATCTACGGAATACCAGAAGCAACCCTCTCTGTAACACACATTTCCCTGATTTCCTGGCCTCATGTACAGAAGAGAAACATTTTGAGATAAACTTGGGTGACTTTGCTTTGATGTGACAAGCCCGTTGCTAAACTCAACTATCAAGAAAGGTTTCAAGAAACACTAGTCTGGGAAACGTGATTATAACAGGAGCCTGTGGATTTACTTCTTCTTCACCAGTCAGGCCAACCTTTCATGTCTTATTAGCAATAAAGGGCACAATATTTACTACAAGCCTGAACCATGAGGACAGAGCAGTAAGAGACAAAAGCCATATGACAGGGGCAGTCTCAAATTAATAGCCTAGTTACAGTCTACCACAAACTGGAAAGGCCTCCTTCATTCATGTCCTGGGGTTTGGGTTAAGTTGCAACCCCCACGGTAGTAAGAGTTTTTGTGAAGGGATGGAAACCAGCTGTTCTTCGTCCTCTGAAAATCTGAACTTTAGCACCTAGCACTGTTTTGTGTGGCCCCAAGAGGCAGGGCCACTTCGAATATATATCATAACTAGGCACCTTGATAGATGGAGGCGGAAGGACTGGGTGCCGCCCCACCCAGCGCCTCTTGCAGGGCTGCCCAACGCCTTCGGAGGGAATAGCTCTGCAGCCAGTAACTGCATGGCTTAATCCTTCTAGACTGAACCACTTCAGATTTATGCCAGTGAAAAGCAAACGTTGTTTGTAAGTCATTTAATTGTGTTACTGTCTCTCAACTTTATCAGATGCTGCTGAGGCCAGGAGGGCTGTGCGCAGTCCTGTGGGATGCTCTGGAGTGCTCCCAGGCTCGTTCTAAAGGCCCACAGCTCAGAGACCCCAACGCTGCCTCTTCCAGACTCGTAACAAACTACTAATTTAACGGGTTCAAATGGTATTTGTCTCAACTCAGGATCCACGCTGAAGGCTGTAGCTCCAAGACATTCACCCCCTTGATTACAGAGTACCATTAACTAGTACAGACTTAGGTTCAAACCTGGTTTATTAAGTTCTTTGGTTAAATATTGTTTCTACACCCTTTCAGAGCATTATAAGAACAAAGATAATGGTATTTTATAGAAAGACTGAAAACCCATCTTTTGCTTTCTCAGAGCAAAGACTGAATTTACATTGTGCACTATTATAAATTCTTATAATTAGGCCAGACTTATAAAAAGGTAGGGATTTTGTTGTTGTTTGTTTTGAAAAATAGATTCTCCTGGGCTAGCCAACATCACTGTCCTGGGACCCAGACGCACAAGAGTCTCTCGGTAAAGGCTGCTTGGCACATGGTCGGGGGAGGCGGTCAGCTCATCATGTCCAGACTGCACGGCTCGGTGCTGCCATCACTGCGCAGGGCCTCTGCCACGTCTCTTCTGAAGACGGACAGGTTCTGGGTGAACCTGGGGAGAAAGGAAGAAAGGCGGGGGGCAGTGGCAAGGCCGAGGTGGTGTGAGCCTCTGGATGATAAAGCCACTGCGGAGCTCAGGACCTTGGAGAGAGCCCCAGATCCTGGCCAAGCTCCCACCTCCCACCTCCACTGCCCCACGACTGTTCTGCCACCAACACCCCCTCCCTCCTTCCCCTCCTGGAAAACAAGGCTTACCACCAGATACACCTGGACCATTGTAAGGGGCACATTTGGTGGGCGTACTATTTAAAAACTGTTCTTAAAAGTCAAACTACACACAGATGGTAAGGAATATAAAGAAATGATTCAAAGTTTATGTGCCAGGCACTGGGTTGAGTTTACATATAAATTCATCTAAGCATCACAAGTCTTCCCAAAGGCAGGTATTCGTATCCTCATTTTGCAGATGAGAAAACCAGGCTAGATTACCTGGGTTCGAATCCTGACTCCACCACTTAGCAGAGTGATCGTGGATGAACACTTAACCTCTTGTCTTGGTGCTCGACTGGAGTAGCTACTTCATGAGATTGTGGGAAGTGAGAATTTACTGAATCAGTTTAGACAATGCCCGTAAGTACTCGACCTAGTGCACAGCACATGGAAAGCATTTGTACTGTCTTAAATGGGAGGGCAGTCTGGCATCATTTCACAGAGCAGCTCAGGAGGGGGTCCTCAAATTCCCAAGCCTCAAGTGATGCAATCTTCCCCCCAACAGGCACCTGCAGAGTCCCCATTCATTCAATCTCTTCTGCCTGCCAGAGGATCGTGGCACGGGACGAGCAGTCAAGCGTGTGTTTGCAGAGCCTATGGGACTTAGCCTTCTATTGCCAGAGCCCAGACTGGTGACTCCACCACACGCTGCTGTGGTTATTGGGATGATTGATGACTCGCATTTCAAATGGTGAAGCATCTGAACGTTGTCACTTTTATAAAAGGATGGTGCAGGCAGTGCCTCCCACCCCAACCCCCTGAAAAACAATTTCTGTCTACGTTGTTCATTATGGTCTGTTTCCTCCATCAGAAGCTCTGTGAAGCAAAAACCTTGAACAATTAGTTCACCACTGGTATCCTCAACGCCTGGCACATAGTAGATGCTCAATAAAATTTTCTACTCTAAATAAATGAACGGATGAAAGCATACCTGATAAGTCTGGGTTCCTTTCATTTAGATCTCATTGGCAACTTTTGTAAAACCAGCCACTCTTAAAGGTTGGGCAGAGGAAGAGCTAATGGCTCGTATGTCCTAGGTACCATGCTTTACAACATTCTGTCATTTCAATATCACAACCAATTTTGTTGGTGAGAAAACTGAGGACCAGAGCAGCTGACTGCCTTACTCACTGCCACACAGCCTGTAGAAGGCAGGGATAAAATTTAAATTGGAGTCCGGTTAACCTCAAAGCCTGTGCTTGTTCAAATGCCGGGAAGCCTTCCCTCATCCTTCGTAGCAGATCTGAGCTTTCCTTCTTTTGACCTTTTCAGTGAGTTATTTTTCATATCTTCTGTTGGATTATAGAGTGCATAAGGGCACAGGCTGCATTTTATTCATCTCTGCATCCCTATGTAATGCCTAGCGTGGTGCTTAAAAAAAAGCAAATGGGGCCCCTGGGTGGCTCAGTCGGTTAAGCGTCTGCCCTCAGCTCAGGTCATGATCCGAGGGCTCTGGGACTGAGTCCTACATCAGGCTCACTGCTCAGCGGGGAGCCTGCTTCTCCCTCTCCTCCCCCCTCTCCCCACTTGTGCTCTCTCTCTCTGTGTCAAATAAATAAATAAAATCTTTTTTTTTTTTTTTTAAAGCGAGTACCTAGTAATATTTATTGGATGGAAAGAAACTGAGTCTACAGTTACAAGGTGTAACAGAAAAGTCACATCAATATGTGAACTGTGTTAAGCACGATCCAGTTATTTTCCACAAGCCAGAGATGTTAAGCTTACTGGGCAGTGCTTACCTGTCTCTGTTCTTGATGGACAGGTTCTGCTCCACTCCTTCCATCAGGTTCCTGAAGCACTGGGCAAGGACCTCCTGCTTGGGGACAGGCTGGCTGTTTATCAGGCTTGCCCTCAGTTCACTGAAATACTGTGGGGAGACAGAACAGCTCAGGGCCTTGACGCCAAACCTGGGCCCCGAGAGAGCTGTGGGGGAGGGTCTCGACCTGCTCCATCCGCTCAGTGCTCCTCACTCTCAAAGGAGCTTCGGTCCAGGACCACTTTGAACTTTAAGCCAAGGCAACAGATACATTCCGAGGTATAAACTGTATTATCCCTTCTCATAAAGATCTCTTGTGATAATTGTTCTACCGTCACTGAACAATTTAGGTCCTCTGTGGGGGACCGAGTGTGTGAAGGTCTTCCTGACTCTCCCCTCCACTCATCTCAGAAAGGCTAAAAGAGGAAGGGCCTCTTCCCTTCTGAGGCGGAGGGGAAGAACTTAACAGGGAGAACTTGGAGTGACTGGAGGAAAGGCTCAGGGTCCTCTCTCAGGCTACAGCATCATCCATGGCTTTAGTGACTGACTCCTCACACAACCCCGGACTTTGTCCCAAGTCCCTGTCCGATGGCTTAGGCTGGGTCTGTTCCGCCGCTGAGGCAGGGTGCTAAAGGGGCTTGCTTCATTCTGGGAGGGCCTTCCTGCACTAAGAAATACACCTGTCATGCCTGGTCCCAAAGAGCTGCACAGCCCCTCTCTTCTGCTGGGGTCTGCAGGCTTCTACACACACACAAGCTCTCACACGACACACAGCTCCTCATCTTTGGAAACAGCTTAATTTCAGCACAAAGACAACGTTTTGCCAGTCATGTGTTTATCCAAGCCCAAACAGCATGATATTTAATTTCCATCATACATTAAAACAGCCCACATCAAAAACACACATAATTAATATGTAGTCAGACTAATACTTAAATACTATATATCAGAGGCATTACACTTAAACCACAATGTCTTCCTGAACAAGATTGGGAATGCACAAAACTACTTATTTTTCCCTTTTATAATGATGCAGTGACTCACACCAAATAGAAAATTATTAGTTTTTCATCCCAAACCATGAAATATTGCCTCCATCAGTAAAGTATAATATTGTGATGTCATAAGCTTTTTCTAAACACTGAATTTGCCCTTATTCCCTCTCAATCATTTTAAAAGAACTGCTCTCTTTTATAGAGCTTGGATTTAAATCACAATAACACCGAGGGAAGATGAATGACAGTGCTATTGAATGTGGCTAAAATTGGATACTTCAGCACAGGTGAATGATGAGACAGCTCTTCTCTTTTTGATATATTTTCTTCTTCTATTAGTTTCCTTCCAAGGCTGGGATTTCAGTTTGAATTTTAATGTATGCGGCTGCCTCTAATCTCACTGTCTTTCTCCCCAGTACTATCTTATTGTATAGACAATTCATTCTCTCGAGCAGTAATGCACTGTTCCTGCTGAATGCCGGGGAGATGGGGGTGCGTCCAGGAGGAAGCTGGAGGGCCTGGGAGGCCGCCCCAGGTGGTGAGTGCACTTATGAGCTGGAGACTTGTGCTCTCAGATGGAGGGTGCTGGCTCTGCAGTGAGTCCCTGAAGGGACGACGACCACATAGGGCAGTGAGGATCCCAAATATAAGAGGAGCCGAGTTGTAGCTCGGAATTCCACAGGAAACGGGGTAGGGGAATGAGGGTGAACTTGAAGCACTACTGAGCAAACCACCTGCCCAACGTGTGGGGGCTCTGGGTTCCAGAAGAGCTGGTCTTGAGGCCTTCACTTACTTGAAGAAGATGTGAGGCCTTTGGGGAAGGGCCTTCTGGGGGAATATGGCCTTGCCCCAGAGAGTTCAAGGTTCCAGCTCAAGCTCCATTGTTCCTTCTGTTCTTCTTGTCACAGCTCGGCCTGGCGTACAGCTTCTCCCTCCTCCCAGGGACCACCTCCTGTGGACCTTCCCGCAATCACACTCACCTTCTCGTTGAGCAGGATGAGCCCCAGGAGAGGCCTGGATACTGACCACTGGTTCCGACAGTCTTCAAAGACAATGGTGTTCATGAGGACAGACATCATCTAGAAGACAGAGTCAAATGAAGACCTTGGCTCAGAGGTCCCCCCAATCCCAGGTCTGTCATGTGCTCACCTTCTACCCCTATGTCGTGCCAACAGCCGTGAGGGCTCTTCCTGGACAAAGAGCTTTGACTCTGCAAGCCTATAATGCTGCAGGCTGGAACTCTTGGCCAAGACTCCCAGTGCCCTGAGGAAGAGTTTCTACCACCAAAAGCTTCAGTGAGAACCTTCTGGGTGGGTAGAAATCAGAGGTTACAGAGCTAAGAGGATCAGTCTCTGCCTCTCAATCCTGGTATGCTTTCCTCCATGCAAGTGGCCAGGTAGAAGCCCAGCTCACCTTCCTTCTTGCCTCTCATTTCACTAGAGGTCAAGTTATGGAGGGGCAGCATCTCTCAGAGGGAGGGAGAAACGGGACACATTCCATGTGACCTCGGAAGGTCCTGTTTCCTGCTGGCTCAGGCTCATTTGTTCTTCATTCACTAGTTCACTCACTCGCTTCACTTTTACATGTACATACAAATGTATCCTCTTAAGTTCAAAGTCTGCAAGACACCTAAGAGAGGTCAGAGAACAGGCATCGACCGTGACCTGTGCCCTGGAGGAGCTAGAAGCTTCTTGGGGCAGGGCACAGAGCAGACAGATAGCCAGAAATAGGGCTGGGCCAAGTGCAGTGGGCTAGCAGCGGAGGGAGGGATGCTCCTGGGTCTCTGGGGAGAAGGCAGGGAAGATTCCACAGAGAGGGTTCAGTTTAAGGAGAGCATCATAAATGTGTTCTGGGCAGAGAAAGCAGTGCAAAAGGAGGTTGGGAAAAAACTGAGTGTGACAGGAGAGAAGAGATGGGGGCCAGAGAAGCCAGACCCCAGGGCCAGGCTGGTAGACCATGCTGGGGAGCCTGGACTTCATCGTGATGAAGGGAGAGCCTGTGATGGGTTTGTGGCAAAGGAGAGACACGCTTAGATCTGCACTTAAGCAAGATCCCTCTGGGGACAAGTAGAATGCATGCGGTTGCGGGTGACATTAAAGGAGGAAGGCCAGGGTTGGGGTTTCTGCACTACTCTGGGCAAGTGGCAGGGAAACAAGCTTTGCTCCCCTGCGTTCAGCTGATGGTACACTTTGCCTTTCCTTGGGCTCTTTACCTCCCATCTCTAGTCCTTCCATTTCCACAGCCCCTGAGCTCCCGTGCCCCAAAGAGCGCAGGGGAAATGGCAGTTATGTGGCCAAGCTACCACCCACATGACCCCTGACTGGGCTCTGGTGGCGTCGACTCTCGTCCCCTGCACTTCCACAACCCAATCTGCCTGGCGATCTCAGGCCAGCTTCTGTGTCAGTTTCATTAGCTATCAAGAGGGAAATAATAATCTAGCCCAAGAAAGCTCTGAGAATCAAATGAGAGGGTGGATAAAAAAAGTGTTGCAGAGAGGAAAACGTGCCATAAACGCTTAAGGTATGTGATAACAACAGTAATGAGCATCTCTGTAGTTAGAAATATCTGTCATCCCATACATCATCATTGTTGTCATCCTAACAGGCTGGTTGCAGATGAAACTGGCCAATTCCACACTTACTGTATGTCCAGTCTCTCTGGGGAGAGACAAGGTCTCAAGCCTGGCATGCTGAACATGACTTGTAGATTACATGCTTCCATGTACAATCTGACAAGTCACCCAAAGTCGTAGAGCCACAAATTAAATTGACAAGCAAAACTAACAGATCTATGGAGACAGTCTAAAATATTATGGGCTTCACAATCTGAAGGCAGAATGGATATTTTTAATGGAAAAGATTAAAGTTAGAGGCACCAAACTCCTCCAGTAACTGACAAAGCATCCTGAAGTGATGTGCCAATTACTTTATACGGTTCTCCCGTGGATTCATTTGTCTGAATGCATGTATTTATGTCTGTAATAAGTAAGGCGATGTTTGAATAAAATACTTCTCTAAAAATAAAGTTGGCTAAAATGTCTGATTTTTAAAAAAAATTTTTTTACTCTTCCGGAAAAATGGAGATTAGTGAGCAAATCTGCTCAAGTGCTATTGACGTGGCAGCTCATTTCCAGAACTTTTTTTTTCTTTCTAATAATCCTAGAGGGTATGGGGGAAACAGCACAAGCGATGTGGCAGATTCCCTTGGAGAAGCTCTCCCTCTCCCAGTTTGGAAGAATAGTGGGTGAAATGCCTAAGTACAGACTCCTGTTCCAGGTAATCAAAACCTCTGGTAGGAGGCTCTCTGTGCTCAATGATATGGACACATGCAGACTGAAAGGGGAGGGCCCTTGGTGACTCTGCACCAGCGCACCCCAGGCTGCACGGAGTCACAAAACACTAGAGGATTTAGTACAAGGAGTGCTGTGAGCAGGGCCCCCTTCCCCCAACTTCTGCTCACTTCCATACTGTTACAGGATGGCTGGAATGGCCATTTCCGATCTGCTCAACTGAGGCTACATTTTCCAGGGCCTATGTTGAAACACATTATCCACTGTATTATCCCAAGCAGCTCTTCTGCCCAACCAGGGAAGGGACCATTTTGGAAGAGGAGCTGTGTGGCTCGGTCCACTTAGGAAAACCATAATCCACATTGCCTCAGCACTTACTCCTTTCTCCTTCCTTCTTCCCACGGGCTTTAGCGTGAGTCTGTAGGAAATGGCCCTCCGTGAAACAAAACCAACATGGTGTGGTAGGGACAGGCTTTGGAGCCAGCCAGAAAGGAGGCCGAATCCAGGCCTGCCACTTACCTAACCTGGATGCTGGACAAGTCCCTTCAGTTCTCTGAGCCTTTATTTTCTTACATATAAAACAGGGGATTATAGCAACTACTCTGAAGGGCTGCTGTGAGGACTGACTTCCTTCATATGTGTCAAGCATTGTGTACCGTGTTTGCCACCCAGTAGGCACTCAAAAATTACTAGTGTTCCTTTACTGCAACTATGGTTTCCCTCTGTGGTGTGACCTAATGGAATCTCAGGCCTCAATGAAGCACCCCATTTCATGTCTTGATTATGTTCAGATAAATGAGACTATAGTCTCCTTGCAATTATCTAACTTCACTGAGAGTTGCAGTAAAAAAATAAGCCACCATAGGAAACAGTCCCCAAGCCATCCCTGTTTGTCTGGCACATGCATTAGCATGGAGTCTGAATGACTGTTTCTGCTGTTCTGAAAGCTTGTCATCTTCCAAATCAAACACAAAGCTACCACAAATATCTGACCTGGAAAGGTTAAGACAAGTTCTATTGTGTCATCTGCATCTCTCTTCTCCCCTCGGCCCCTCTCCTACGCTTCTGCCCTAAGACGCTTTGGGCACAAGCCCGAAGCACAGCGGACCCTGCAGCCTGGATATGCTGGTCATGCTCTCCCAGCGGCAAGGTGGTGACCACATGCTCTCACACCAGGCGCTTCCTGTTCTATCTCCGGCTGATGTAGAATAAGCAAAGATGGCGCTTGTGTTGAAGGCTTTGCTGCTAGACGGTGGGCATGTACTCTAAGGAAGTTGGAGGCCCAGTGGCTCTAGAAGCTGGGTAGAGCGGGATGGTGGGAGTCACATGGCCCCAGTGAGTGCCGGGTGATGACTGGTAGTGAGACTAGTCTATAAACTCCTGGGCGCTAAGACCACGAGGGCCTGCTCTCTGTATCCCCCAGGGCCTGGCATGGTATCTGGCACAGAGCAGAGGCTTGGGAAATAGCGACTGAATGAAAGAATGGATACATGAATGAATGAATGAATGAATGAATGAATGAGAAAGGATGGATGAACTATCAAGAGCGAAAGTATAAAGAGCTAAAGAACATTTTGAAAGGGGATCGTATAAAAAACAGAGTTCTGGCCTCAATCTCTGGTTAAACTCTGAAATGGGTAAATATCTAAATTAATACACTGTTCATTTCCAAGGATCTTGTCTTTGTGTGCAGAGGCTGAGAACTCTCCTAAGCCCCTGCTGTCCCTCCAGCCAGCAGCCAGAGCCCTCGTGGGGGCTACCAAGGCTGAAGGCTGAAGCACCGTCTTCTGCACCGACCAGCAGGTGCACCCAAGAGAGGCTGTGCCCGGTGAGTCCTCTCATTGCCCACGGTCCTAACAGTTATAGCTTATGGAGAGCCTTCTGGGTGCTCAGCACTCTGTTCGGCACGTGCTAGGTCTAACCCTCAGCCAACCTTGAAGTAGGCCTTATCCTCACTCTGTAGACTACGGAGCTGAGGTCCCGAGCAGGAAGTTACTTGCTCGAGGCATCAGGCTACAGCTCTCCGGAAGTGAGGGAGAACTCAGATACGCGCACGGGTCTGCCTGGGTCCGGAGGCCATGGCTGCGCCCTCACGCCAGCCTGCTGCCTGCCACAGTCTGCAGTGGTGCTGCAACCATCAGCAGCATGTCTGGCTCCCGCCGCAGCCTGCTGGGGCCCTGATGGTGTGGGCGGCGAGGCTCGCTTCCGGCCACGGCTCACTCTGGCACCTTCAGTGGGCCTCCTGGATCTGATGCCCACATGCATCCCCTCTGTTCAGCCACCCTGGCCACCTGCTGAAGAGTCAGGCAGCTGCTGGAATCCCCGCAATGAGAATCCAGGGCAGCAATTCCTGGAGAGTTTGCAGACCTTCCTGCCTCCTACCTAACGCTTCTAGAAATGTGGTTAACAGATTTTCAGACTCTCAAGATGAACAACAGTAGACATAATTAATAGACTGTCTCTGGAAAATGGTCCATTGAATGTTTTTCTAAAAATAACAATTTCCCTCCCACCAAAAGTACCATGTACACAGTAATTTAAATTAACATCATTGAAAACATTAGTAAATTACGCTAATTTCCTTTGAGTTACAACGTTCCCTACAAGGTGAATGCTTTTCACTGTTAGCGTTCTTAAAGCCTACTGAATAATGTAACTAAAAACCATTCCACAGAGTTCTAAGAACTAGATGAAAAAACTCAAACCCTCCTTCTTGCTCCCGGCCTGTATCAGACAGACAGAAGCCTGAAGCTGGAGCGACGCCACGAGCCCTGACAGCGCAGGGCCCGA